TTCTTTATAATTTTAAGGCAAAGAGCCCTGATACGAAAATGCTGAAAAGTTACGATTGTTTTCAAATGGAAAGAGTTTAAAAATTAGCCAAGCAGAAACAATAAGTCATTATGATATCAAAATGAGGTCAAAATGATCATTTGTCAATCATTTCCTATTTATTTTCATATCAATTTGATGTTATTATAACTTATTCTGCTTGGGTACGAATGAAAGGACTAGAATTTCGCGTGATCAGAGAGGTAATGTGATTTATTATATATATGTACATTCATAGTGATGACGTGCGCATATAGATTAATAGTATATTAGAAAATAGAAAGCGCCTATTCTCATCAAGAAACGACAAGCACCTCGAGTCTCTCGTTTTATTGCATCATGATAATATCTTGATCGGTTCGCGCGCTCGACAGACGTGAAGTAGCGCGCGAGTCACGCGTGGCAAGTGGCGCGTTAATGACGTAAGTTTTTGCGCGCGCGAACGTCCTGCAGTGCAGTTCACGCCGATTCGCGAATCGTTTAGCATGAGCGCGGAAGTCGCTCTGTAATTCTTTCTTATCTGGCGAATTGCGTGCGGACGATCACACCGTGCGACTATCTGAACGACATACAATCTCTCTGTGCTAATTAGAGTGCGCTTTTCGCGATCAGCCCATGTTCTCAGGATCGGGAATTCTTTGATTGGCACCAGCGAAAGGTCGCAGAAAGATCGAGAATCGCGGATTCAAAATGGCCGTCGGCCGGTCGCCGTTAGTGAAGCGCGCGGTGAGTAGCTTTATTTGTTACACTACTTGTAATTATATGTTACTTGCACTTTTGCTTTTTGCGCGCTCATATTATTCGTTTAAAGAAAGAGTACGTTGAGTAGCATTGTGCCATCGTCGTACGAATAAACGGCGTATACTCCATCTTTGTCATTTTCGTCAAGTAAATTCTGTGCGACAGCAAACGAGAATGGATTAAAATGGATTGAAATTTTTTTCTGTGCGTATTTCTATGCGTATTCTGAATGCGTATTTTAAATAGCGAATACTTTTTTTTGGATTTAATTGAATTCAATTGGATTGGATGAAATTGGATTGAAAAACTGCATTTCCTATTCAAAATTTTGAATTGAACAATATTCACAATGCATAGAAAAAACAAATATTATTTTTAGATTGAAAGGCATAGAATATGCTCTATGCAATTCCTATAAATGAATAAAAATGCATTCAGGATTGAAAAGCATTCATTTTAACATTCGAGAATCAATATTTCTGAAAATCTGAATCCATTCCAATTTATTTCAATTCATTCTCGTTTGCTGGGAATTGAATACAAGCTACAGTTACAGTTATCTAAATGAAAACTTGTTCTTTATGGCTGAACTTCTTACACGATTCATATTTCCTCGTTTTTTTTTTAATGTTGCAGAGAAAAAGAGAAAGGATAAATTGTGCAAGATGTTCAGCCTTCGAAAATTATTATTTCAATTTTGACATCAAAATTAAGTCATTTTCTCTTGACTTATTTCTTGAATTGCCATACATGAAATTAACAAAGTTAAAAATAAAGACATTTTCAACACTTAAATGCATAATATTGTTACGTAATTTAATGAAATGTATTTTATTGTAAAATATTTAAATTACAAAATAATTGATTAAATAAAAGCTTAACGCGAAATTGTTATTGAAGCTAATATTTATTATAATCTTCTTTACAATTATACCATTTATAATCGGTGGATTTGGAAATTTTTTAATTCCATTAATACTTGGATCTCCTGATATAGCCTACCCACGAATAAATAATATAAGATTCTGACTTTTACCCCCCTCATTAACTCTTTTAATTCTTAGAAATTTTTTATACACTGGTACCGGTGCAGGCTGAACTCTTTACCCCCCTCTAACCTCTCATATATTTCATAGAGGCCCCTCAATTGACCTAACTATTTTTTTTAAATATTTAAAAATTCTATAATTATTAATAATATTAACCTCAATATTTTATTTTTATTTACACTCTTTAATATATCAGGTATACCTCCTTTTTCTATATTTCTTATAAAATGATATTCAATCTTTTTATTCATAAAATTAAATAATCTTATTGTCATTATAATTTTTATAATATTTAGATCTTTATTTATATTATTTATTTATAATAATATATTATTTTATGCCTTATTCCTATACAAATTTGAATCAAAATTAATTAAATTAAATCATTCTAATAATAATATTTTTATTTTCATCTTATTCCCCTTATTATTATCTTTTACTATTTTATTAATTTAATTTTCAAAGATTTTAAGTTATAACTTAAACTTTAAACTTTCAAAGTTTAATAAATAATTTTTTTATAAATCTTATTTTTATAATTTTACCAATATATATTATTTAAATTTAAATATTTAAAATTTTTAAATTTGCAATTTAATATTTTTATTAAATTATAATATAATTTTATTTAACTTTATCTTTTTAATTTAAATTTAAATTTTTAATATTATTAATTAATAAATTTTTAATGTTAGAAATTATTAATTCCTTAAATAAATTTACAATTTATCACCTTAATCAGACATAACATTTCTTTTTCAAAATTTAAATTTATTTTCAATTTATAATATAAATTTTTAAATTACTTTATCTCTCTTTTCTTAATTTTTTATCCTATTTTAATTTAATCCCATTTTTTAAAAACTTAACTTTTTTCCATTAATTTAATAAAATTAAATTTTAATTTTATTTATATGAACAAATGATTATTCTCTACTAATCATAAAGATATTGGTATTCTCTATTTTATTTTTGCAATTTGATCAGGCTTACTAGGGTCATCAATAAGGA